TCCAGCTCTGGCTCTCCAGCTGCTGCTGCCCCTTGCTCTGGTTCCACCTTTGCTCCTGGGATAGCAAACACCTCCTAGAGTCACTCTGAGAGGGCCTTTCAACACCTGCAAAATCATTTCGTGCTCCTCAGACAAAACCTGAGCTAACCACGTGTGTATTATGGACAGGGAGAGCTACAGAGGTAAAAATGAACCCAAATGTTTTCCATGGAAGGTAAAAATCTTAAACTGGGGTTTGGATTTGTGTCTGCAGGTAGTGCTGTAAATAACACGTGGTGAATTGCTCCAAGTGCTCTGCAGATGGGGAGAGTTGGTACCACAGATGGCAGAGTTGGATTATTTAAAACCTTGTCAGTTTAGGAACCTSCAGTGGGAGCCTTTTATTTCTGATCGTTTCAGTTTTGAACTGTTCCTCACCTCGGCTGGGCTGAGCATTTCCACCAGGAGCCTGGGAATGGGGGTTCCTGGCAATGCAGAGTGTCCTGGGTGTGGATGGTGTGAAGAGAGGAGGTGGTGATAGCACAGAATTCTGTGTAAGGACAAGCAGCAGCCCAGCTGATGCTGTAAATCAGATGCAGAGCAGAATTCTCYTCCTGCCTCACCTCTGATTTCCCCCAGAACCCAGGAATGGGATCCAAGCACTGGGAAATGCAGGAGTTCAGCTGCTGCAGCCGCAATTCCCAGCTCACTCTGGGTCCCTGTGGGTGCAACATCCCGGGATCGGTGCCTGCTCCAGAGCAATCTCTGAGAGAGGGGGAAAGCTGCCATTTCACATGGAATCACAGGAAAGCTCTTTCCCAGGGGAGTGGGAGGCTGCGTGCTCCACCAGTGGGTAAAACSCTCAGAATTTCAATGTATTCAAGCTCCCTCCTGGATCAAATCCTCCCACGCAGGCAGAGGAGCCCTGGCCGTGTCCAGGGGGGCTCACCCCACTCTTCCCTGCTGGGATGGGCTCTGCTCCCATCTCCTGCTCCTGGAGCTGCAGCCCGGGATGCAGGGCAGGGATGGAGCCAGCTCCTCTGCACTGTGCCTGTGATTCAGGCCGATGAATCACTCAGCTGCTCTCCTTCCCAACCAGATCTTGGGATTCATCATTGTTAGAGCAGGAAACAAAAAGGAGGAGGGGAGAAAAAAAAAAAGAAAAAGGAAGAAAAAACAGTGCTTTATCTCTCTTTCTAGCCCTCTCCAATTTGCCTGTTTGAAACATTAATCACATTTTTTTAGGCATCCCATTCAGGATGAATAAACCTTTGCTAATCCTGGAGAGGAGCAATGTGCGTTGTGAGGAGGTGGGATGGAATGTGACCACAGCTGTGACAGCACTGGGGCTCAGCACTGGTGACTCAGGCTCAGCACAGAGCTCCAARGGCTCGGACTGTGCCTCCTCCAGCACCAAACCCCTCACCCCGAGCAGCTTTAGCCCTGCCCCAGGCTGCTGCTGACCCTCAGTCCCCTGAGCACTGAAAGAGGAGCACAAAATCCCATTTAACCCCAGTTCTGCACCTCCTGCAAACTCAGTTTTGATGATGTTTTCCCTCTTGGGCCAGGAGGTTCCTTGGGAGCTGCTCTGGAGATCCTGGCTGGGAGCACCTGGGAAGGCAGGGGAGGAGCTGCTCTGAGTGCTCAAATCTCATCAGGAATAATTAATTTTTTGCCTCATTTAGAGACATCCAGCCACATATTTATACATGAATTCAGCATTAAAGCTAGAGGCTATTCTAGTGACTGCCTACCACTAATATCCACTATCAGTAATTAAATCTAGAGGCTGCACTAATGACTGGCTACCACTAATATTCACTATCAGTAAATAATAATAATAATAATTATGTCCAGAAAGCTCCATCAGTACCATGGAGAGGAAAATGAGGACAAACCAAAATTGTTTCAGTAGCTCTTGAACTGTTTTAAAACTGGCCAATTTTAAACTGACCCATTTCATCTCCACCCAGACCAGCTTCACTCACTTTGGTTTTGGTCCCTCCAGATTGTCAATATGCAGACGGTGACAAGGTGTTTCTTCGTGGATTGGATTTGTTTCACTTTTGTCGATGTTATTCTGTCTCTGTCTTTCAGTTTCTATAGTGATGGACAAACACACGCAGCACACACGAGGCCCGGCAGCCTGGCAGGGTGTGTTTGCCTGCGCTGGCTGAAAACACCRCCGAGCTTTTGAGAAATCCACTGGAAAATCTTTGCCAAAACCCTTCAGATCTTTGAAAAACGAGTCCCATCAAACGAGTTGACAATGTGTTTAATATACATTCATTTTTTTTGATGTGTTTTGTCGCAAGCAGCAGATGCTGCAGTTCTGTGGGTGCTCTGGTTTCTCCTGCATCCATCCACACACACAATTGAAGATGAACCTTTTCCAGGGGCGAGGAGCTCAGCTGTGATTAAAGGGCATGGAAGGGGTAGCTCCAAACCAAATCCCTTCTCTAAAATTGCTCGTACTCTGATCTCCCTGTGAATCCAGTGATCCAGGGAAGTTCTGCTCTGAGCAACCCCAGCCCGAAGCTCTCACAGTGACTGCACAAAGGCACCATCGCTTGAAACCTCAAACCCCAAATGCAGCTCCAGAAGTGAAAGGGGTTCACCTTTCACCTTGTGATGGAGCTGCTCAGACCCTGTGTTTGTTCTCAGTCTGATATTTCAGTGGGTATTTCAAAAATTGAGCTGGTGAGATGGTTGTGGTATCCTCCTCTGCCAAGACTGAGCTTTGTTAAGGGTGTCAGGGCCGAATTTCAGCTGCCAAAGCTCCAAAAATGTCAGAGGAGCTGGGCTGACACTGCAAGTGAAAAAAATCCTTGCTTGGAAATGCCGCCAATTTTTTTTTTGTTTGTTTTGAGAAATCCATCGAAAGATCTTTGCCAAAACCCCTCAGATCTTAAAAAAATGGTTCCTATCGAGCAAGTTCTAGTAAGATGTGCTTGCTCCAACAAACCAAACCACCGAGCCCTGAAGTTGCTCTGAGAGCGGGAGAGCAGCAGCAGCAGCAGCGAGAATTCGCGGGGATGCGGAGAGCGGCGCTCACACGGCACCCGGGGGACACGGGGAGGACACGGGCTTGGTGTCACCCGGGCGGGGCGGGGACAGGGCCGGGCATCCCCCGCTCTCCGTGCGGGGCGGGCCGGGGGCGGCGCTGCCCGCGGAGCCGCGGGGCGGGAGCGCAGCCCCGCATCCGCACCTGGGCGGGCAGGAGAGCATCCCGCACCTGGGCAGCGCCGCTTCCAGCTCCTTCTCCTGCTCCTGCTCCTTCTGCTGCTTCTTCTCCTTCTCCCGCTCCTGCTCCCGCTCCCGCTCCTGCCCCTGCCCGCCAGGATGAGCGGCCGCGCCGGGGGAGC